GAATCAAGTCATATTGTAATTGAATATTATAAAAAAATTACCTTCCTTTTTATCCTGCAAAGCTGCAATTTTCTGTAAAATGCAATGCAATATGGCTACCTGGAGGCGCCTTGTATACAGATGGTGTACAGAACACCCCTTGAATATGTAATTTCCTGCTTGTGTGATTGGCTCACTGATTTTCCTGGAAGTATGCACTAAGATACAAGTCAGATTTGTGGCACCCCCTGCAACAAAAATATGATTTTTGGTGAGATATTCCCAAAGGGAAATCACATCTAAAGAGATGTAAACCCTGCCAAATTCCTCATTGGAGCCCTGCAATGTAATATGGCTACCTGGAGGCGTCTTGTATACAGATGGTGAACAGAACACCCCTTGAATATGTCATTTCAATTTCCTCATTGGAGCCCTGCAAGTACAGCAGCTGATTGATCATTATAAAACCACTCCCATACAGATTCACTCTGCATATGGACACAGCCAAACAAACAGCTATTTCTTCAGAATAACAAATGGTAGGAATCTGCAACAAAGTTTATTAAAATTCTTGCAATGTACATACTGTAGATCACCCTAAGGGGAGAGTTTTTTTCTCAACAAAAGTGGAGGTACTCTTTAAGGGCTCAAGTAGCACATAAACTCTTATCCATGTGAAAAAATGACAAATATATATGTAAACAGAAGTATGAATACAATAAAAAATAGTAAACGATAAAAAGATATATAAAAAAGAAATGAGGTGTATAGTTCCAAAAAAAGTCCAAATGATATTAATTTAGCCACCAAAAACTTCTTCAAAAACTTCTTAAAAGATGACCACCACATGAGAAAATATATTGTGAAAAATATGGTGTTCCCCGCTCTCAGGTGTGGATAAATTAATATAATTTGGACTTTTTTTGGAACTATACACCTCATTTGTTTTTTATATATCTTTTTATTGTTTACTATTTTTTATTTTATTAATTTTTCTGTTTACATATATATTTGTCTTTTTTTTCACACGGACAAGAGTTTATGCACTACTTGATCACTTGTTAAGTGTTCTTTTATGTGTTTCATTTATTTATTATTTAGAGTGGCAACATTTTGTTTATGTGTTTATACACAGTTATTATTTGTTTAATAGTGGTGTTTATCACTTTTTCATGCATTTAGCGCAGTTTTTCATTATTTATCATCACTTAAACACTTTAAGGGCTGTTTGACATCAGATGCCTCAGGACTGTGCACCATTGTTCCAACAAGAGACAAGCAAAAAGCCTTGCTCCATACAACAATAAAACAATAAAAACAAAAATACAAACACTGTAATGGTTATATGTTTGAAGTCATAATTTAGGATACTGATGATGGTGTATAAGGCTAGGACTACAAAGAGATGCACGCTGATATGAAATTTAGAGAAAGGAGGGAAATGTCAACTTCAGTTTGATTCAGGCCTGAGTAATATGTGATCCTCAAAGCAACAGTCATTGACGACATAAAACGTAGCAGTTCTGTGTCATGTGAATCTAAAAAATATGTTTCCAATTCCGTTTAGATCCAATATGCTTCCTATTCATAGACATGTAAGGGCTCAGCTGGCAGTGAAACCGTTACAGTGAAATATTCCGGACCAATGAGATGATCCTCGCTGGAGATGCCGTAACCTTTTCATGAGGATACAGACTGGCTTTATGTTGCCAAGACAGCAATGTACAATGTGCTGCATCCTCAGTCCCTACTGCTCCAGTGCCTCTCCTATAAGGATGGAGGAGACATGTTGGTACATTGAATTTAAAGGAAAATGAATGATAACAAATAGGATTGAGTCCCAGACAATACAAATACTGAACACTGGGAGTGTAGAGATAAAATGGTGCATGTAAAATGTAATCTAGACATTATTTGCTGATAATATAGAGGTACATTGTGGTGCTACAGTGTGAACATTACATCAAAACAACATGCTACTATAGATTTTGCATGATTATGTTTTGCTTTGAAACGTTAAAGCCATATTAAACTCAAAGCCATAAATGTTATATATTGCAGCTTACCAGTAATAGATGCACTTTTTTTTAAAGTGTTACTAAACCCACAACAGTAAAATCAGTCTGTATATGCAGTAAAGCATGCTTGTTATATTCACTATGGTACCTAAGGGGTTAATCCTCTGCATTATGTAAAAAGGGTGTTTGATCCTGTCTTCTCTAATCCTCCCCTTATTTTACTGTCCCCAATCCATCTTCTGATAGTACAGAGCTCTTTTTTTCTTTGGGAGGGTGCATGTGATCAGCACAGTGCCAATCAGCGCTGTCCAGACAGAGGGTCAGGGGCCATGCAACCTGATAGGACAGTCAGAGCAGAATGAAAACTCCTTCTAGAAGCTTTAACCAGTGCCCAGCTGGACACTGATAGAAGTCATAATACTTCTCTAACTTTTGATGAGAAAAGGTATTTAGCAGTTTATAATTACTACAATAATTTCATTTACATGTTCTGTGTACTGTGGGAGACCAGATATAGTGAATGCAGGGTCATGGGTTTAGTCACACTTTAAGCTCCCACCCTCTGTTTTCATCTGGTTATCAGGCCATTAATACACTTCCTGCATTAGATGCCCCCACTCTGGATGAAGGAGCACATGAGGCACCATTGGACAGCACCATTGTCAGTCTGGGGGATGGCAGTGTTAGATGTACTAGCAAATTTAGATACACTGACAAATTGAAGGCAGACTTCAGCTCACACTATATAAGCAGTTACAGCAAACATTTTTCTAACTTTTGGGATAAAGCTTTAACATAAATAAATAAAAGCTGATCACTGTAAGCAACCCTGCCATTGTGAAATAGTTTGTCTCATCCATGTAAACTGACACATCTGGAAGACAGCTTGTTCTTTGGAAAAACAACAGACATACTGGTTGAATCAAACGATGAAAAGAAGAATGAGAGTCTAAAAAAAGGAACTAATGCAACCATCACATTTAAGAATTTGAAAGTTGCAATATAATAATTACTGTTTTAATACAGACATCTGATATGTTTAAGCATAAGTCCCTTTTCACACCTGAGTGTTTCCCTATGCATGACTACACAGAATCCCATTCTTTCTAATTGTCCCTGTTCACACTTGTAAGCTCAGTCGCCATATGCTCTACTCCCTACACTCCAGAAAGTACATGAGGTTCAGTGACTTCAATGGGAAATGCCAGTAAATCCGCAATACATGCCATTAGGTTCATTTCTGCACACATTTCTACACCTGAAGAATTCCTCTCCTATAGATCTACTCTCCCTTCCTTGTCCAGCCCAGGCAGCAAACTCCTGAAGTGCAAAAATTCCTGTATTATGCCTGCAAAACCCCAGGAAAAATACATTAAAATTGCTCTGCACGGGTGTAAATGTAGCCTTAAATTTGAATGGGCAGTGTACAGATTGTCAGAAGGGTAGTGCACAAGGTGTCAGCAGGGCAGTGTACAGAGGGTGTGCAGGGCAATGTACTAGGGTCATCAGGGAAGTGTACAGGGGTCATCAGGGCAGAGGACTGGGTTCAGCAGGGCAGTGTACAGTGGGTGTGCAGGGCAGTGTACTAGGGTCATCAGGGCAGTGTACAGGGGTCATCAGGGCAGAGGACAAGGTTCAGCAGGGCAGAGGACAGGGTTCAGCAGGGCAGTGTACAGATTGTCAGAAGGGTAGTGCACAAGGTGTCAGCAGGGCAGTGTACAGTGGGTGTGCAGGGCAGTGTACAGTGGGTCATCAGGGCAGTGTACAGGGGTCATCAGGGCAGAGGATAGGGTTCAGCAGGGCAGTGTACAGATTGTCAGAAGGGTAGTGCAAAAGGTATCAGCACAGCAGTGTTCAGTGGGTGTGCAGGGCAGTGTACAGTGGGTCATCAGGGCAGTGTACAGGGGTCATCAGGGCAGAGGATAGGGTTCAGCAGGGCAGTGTACAGATTGTCAGAAGGGTAGTGCAAAAGGTATCAGCACAGCAGTGTTCAGTGGGTGTGCAGGGCAGTGTACAGTGGGTCAGCAGGAAAGGGAGGGGGGGGGGAGACAAACAAGTGGGACTTCCCTTTTTAGGTGACGTTCCGCTTGAAATATGCATTTACTATGATTGCCAGCTCTATCTAGTGGCCATAATGCAGTATTTCCTGATTTAGGCTCCGCTCTCACCTTTGCAGTTTGTTTTTTGTGCGTTGTGCAGTGCTTTTCGCATTTTGTTTTGCATTTATCTACATGCGTTTTTGACATGATTTTGAAGCTATTTTGCCTCAATTTGCGTTTTGTTCAGCTTTTTAAAAACATTTTTTGCTGGGCAGAATAAAAATGCAAAATGCGTCAAAATCGCGGCAAAAACACACTACCATGCATTTCAGCAGATTCTCCATTGAACTGTATTGTAGCAAAAATGCTGCTTTTTGCTTTTAACCACTAGCCTACAGGGCACTTATACCCCCTTTCAGCGCTGTCACACTTTGAATGACAATTGCACGGTCATGCAACACTGTACCCATATGACATTTTTATCATTTTTTTGTGACAGACAGAGCTTTATTTTGGTGGTACTTAATCACCTCTGGGTTTTTTATTTTTTCTTAAACAAACCAAAAGCCACTGAAAATTTTGAAAAAAAAATGTTTTTTTCTTAGTTTTTGTTATAAAATTTTGTAAATAAGTGATTTTTCTCCTTCACTGATGTGCGCTAATGAGGCTGACTGATGGGCACTGATAGGCTGCACTGATGGACACTGATAGGTGGCACTGATGGGCACTGATGAGGAGGCACTGGTAGGTGGCACTAATGGGCATTGACAGGCATCACTGATGGGCACTGAAAGGTGGCACTGATACATGGCACTGATATATGGCACTGACTGGCACTGATATGTGGCACTGACTGGCACTGATAGGCGGCACTGACTGGCACTGTTAGGTGGCACTGACAGGCACTAATAGGCGGCACTGATGCACACTGATATGCGGCACTGACTGGCACTGATTGGCAGCACTAAAAGGTGGCACTGATTGGCATTGATAGGTGGCACTGACTGGCACTGATGGGTGACACTGAAAGGCAGCTCAGATGGGCACTATGTGGCGTTGATGTGCACTGATAGGCACTGATATGTGGCACTGATGTGGTACTGATGAGCACTGGCATAAGGCACTGATGGACACTGACAGGTGGCACGGCTGGGGCTACACTGATCATCAGGGCACACTGATCATCAGTGCTCTGATGATCTGTGTAGCTGTCCCCTCGCGGAAAGCCGATTACCGGCTCTCCTCTCGAGCTGTCAGCGTGACAGCTCGAGAGGAGAGAAATGCAGATAACCGGCATTTCCCTGTTTACATGTGATCAGCTGTGATTAGACACAGCTGATCACATGACTGAGCCGACATCTTCGGCTCTTTCCGTGATCGGTGATCCGCTGTGTCCGAGGGACACAGCGCATCGCCGATCGCCACGCTGCGCGCTCCCTGAGCCGCGCATGCGCAGTGAGACTGGGAGGACGTCATATGACATCCTCCCAGAACGAGAGAACCACCTTGCGCCCATCATATTACTATACGGCAGGCGGGAGGTGGTTAAAAAAGTCCCTGATCCTTTCCAAAAACCCAGTGGCTCAAAAAAGCATAGATGTGAACATGTTCCACAGGAAACTATGTTAAATGGACTGTAGTGAGTTTCTGCAAAAAACACTAAAAAACGCATTGGTGTGAACAGAGCCATACACATTTGACCTGCAGAGAAAATATCCTAATAATACTTGTTTTAGCCCCCATTCACAAAGAACAAATATACATGCAGTTTTACACAATGAATAGCTCTGAAATGTTTTTATGAACAACCCCTATACTAATTAACGACATTTAAGCTAGCACAAGGATGCTTTCTGTGAATATTGCAAAACCATACAATTAACATAGAGTGACATAAAATACAGGTTATCAGTTTATTTAAATGAGGTCATATTAATATTCTCTAAACGTACCTCTAATGATAATTTCAGAACCAAAATTGTTTCAAAGAATTGTGTTTTACTTGAAGATATTATATTACACTATTCTGTTGCTTGGATGCATAACCCCATTACAAATTAGGGCATCTGCTGTGGTTTCACCTTTTTAAAATAAACGGCACAAGCCGGAGCTATTTGATTTGAGCAGTAAATCCAGAGATGTAGATAGATGTAATTATACAAGATGCAAATTTCAACTGTTCCTGTTAAAAATGTACCAGCAGCTCCCTAGTATTCTGTGTTACAAGCTTTTATAAATTTTAAGGAGCTCTGAAACAATGGCTACGTACAAATGTAACAGAATATTCTTTTATTTGCTATTTATTTTATTATTTGGCAATATATCTTCTAATTGCCTTGGGTTGTAATCCTGGATAGTTATTTTATACATTTTCTATGCACACTTAGAGCGAATTTTGTCCATTGTGTTTGTTTGCTATGCTGGAAATCAGATACATGGAATATTTGATCATGTCAACTGGACATTCATAATAACGAAGTTGACTTTTATTCTATATTATCATTATAAGCGGCAGAGGCATTGATGTGTGCATGGATCAAAGAGTGACATGAAGTGCACTCTGGTGAGTGATGGCCTTGCCGCCTAAAATGAATTACAGTGAACACAAAGAACGTAGTGCACGGCCATTACAGCAATTTGCAATCTGAGCTGAACAGAAACAGCCAACATCTCTTGCTGTTTCATTTATCATGTTTCCATCTCAGTACTTTTCTTACAACTTGTTTAGCATTATTATTTGATATAGCAGTATACCAATGAAATACATGTGTGAAATCTGATTTCCTTGTAACAGGGCCGGATCTAGCTTGCCTGATGTTGGGGTACAGTAAAAATATAGGGGGGGCAGAGGATGGAAAGTGGATGGAGTAAGCAGGGCAGAAGATATGGTCAGCAGTTTGTAGAGCAGTATACAGACGCCATTAGAGTTTGTAGGGCAGTGTACAGGGGTCATCAGGGCAGTGTACAGGGATCATCAGGGCAGAGGACAAGGGGTCACCAAGGCAGTGTACAGGGGTCATCAAGGCAGTGTATAGGCTGTCAGCAGGGCAGTGTACAGGGGTCATCAAGGCAGTGTACAGGTTGTCAGTAGGGCAGTGTACAGGGGTCGTCAGGCAGAGAACAGGGATCAGCAAGGCAGTGTACAGGTTGTCAGCAGGACAGTGTACTAGGGTCATCAGGACAGAGGACAGGGTTCAGCAGGGCAGTGTACAGATTGTGAGAAGGGTAGTGATCAAGGTATTATTATACAGGCTTTATATAGCGCCAACAGTTTGCTCAGCGCTTTACAATATAATGGGAGACAATACAGCAACAATGCAGTTCAATACAAGAGGGATAGGAGGGCCCTGCTCCTACCAGCAGGGCAGTGTACAGTGGGTCATCAGGGTAGTGTACACGGGTCATCAGGCAGGGTACAGGGTTCAGCAGGGCAGAGGACAGATTGTCAGAAGGATAGTGCACAAGGTGTAAGCAGGGCAGTGTACAGTGGATCATCAGGGCAGTGTACTAGGGTCATCAGGGCAGTGTACAGTGGATCATCAGGGCAGTGTACTAGGGTCATCAGGGCAGTGTACAGGGGTCATCAGGGCAGAGGACAGGGTTCAGCAGGGCAGTGTACAGATTGTCAGAAAGAAAATGCACAAGGTGTAAGCAGGGCAGTGTACAGTGGATCATCAGGGCAGTGTACAGGGGTCATCAGGGCAGTGTACAGGGGTCATCAGGGCAGTGTACAGGGGTCATCAGGGCAGAGGACAGGGTTCAGCAGGGCAGTGTACAGATTGTCAGAAAGAAAATGCACAAGGTGTAAGCAGGGCAGTGTACAGTGGATCATCAGGGCAGTGTACAGGGGTCATCAGGGCAGTGTACAGGGGTCATCAGGGCAGAGGACAGGGTTCAGCAGGGCAGTGTACAGATTGTCAGAAGGATCGTGCACAAGGTGTATGCAGGGCAGTGTACAGTGGATCATCAGGGCAGTGTACTAGGGTTATCAGGGCAGTGTACTAGGGTGATCAGGGCAGTGTACAGGGGTCATCAGGGCAGAGGACAGGGTTCAGCAGGGCAGTGTACAGATTGTCAGAAGGGTAGTGCACAAGGTATCAGCAGGGCAGTGTACAGTGGGTGTGCAGGGCAGTGTATAGTGGGTCAGCAAGGCAGAGGGTGGGAGTTCAGCAGGGCAGTGTACAGGAATTGGTAGAGCAGTGTACAAGGAGTCAGTAGAGCAGAGGACAGGGGCTTTGAGAGTGGGGGGGGGGGGCAAACTGAAATCCAGGAGTTGCAGTCCACACCAGCACACCCCTAAATCCAGTCATGCTTTGAAATCACCTTGATTAGGTCAGAATCTTATCCTATGAGACAACTGTTTTAGTGCATGTGGGCTTTTCAAACACATATTTCACTCACTATGTGCCTGAAATTTTACATATTTCAATGTTACCCTGTTTTCTTTTATTTCCTCATGAACAATTCATTTTATTTCTAGTTAATTGACAAGGTAACCTAAGTTTAAAAGGAATCACTAGAAGCTGTTATTGCTACTCTATAGCTGGAATGCGATATGACGGTGGTTGCTGCACCTGTTCTGCCCCACTTTTATGTAATTTTTCTTTGTTGTATTGAACTGCATGAAGTTTTTATTGTTGTGTAGTATGCTGACATCTAGTGGCAGTTTAGGGCCAATACAGCCTGTTTGCTTTTATAGTTTGGTGTCTCCCTCTGTCCTCCCCTCGTGTTTGGTGCTTGTTAGTTTAGTCCTAGTTAGACTCTCCCTGTTCTTCATGTTAGTATTTTGCAGTGACAGGGTTTAGGAAAGCCATTGTCTTCTTACATTTCAAAAGATTGAAAAAAACATCCACTGTACCACATTTTGGATTGGATTCATGCTCTGGACTGAAGAGTTAAGTTGCCTGTGGATGGTGCCAGGTTAGTAGGTGACGATACTATGCAAACAGACTGGGTCTGAGGAGGATTAGCAATGCATATAGCTGCATAGCAGCACTCATATGAACAATACATGAACAGAAAATAAAATAGCATTCTAAGAGTAATGATATGTTAATATATATACTACAGTAGAAGTTCATGCAACCCAGCTAGTGTTAAAAATGTTATTTCCCCCCTCCTAACACCTATGCAGGAAAACCTGTATAAAAAAGATGTATATTCTTACCTATTTTCAGCCCGATCTGGTCCAGTCATGTCATCCGGCTCCCTGTGTCAGCCAGCAGTGGCTGCAAGGGAGAGGAGGGAGTGCCGACAGTGGATGGGACATGGGAGCTCAAGGGTGATGTCACCACTCCTATCATTCCCAGCCATTGTTGAACACTCTCTTCTCTCCCCTACATCCACCAGTTGACACCGGGAAGATAACATGACCAGAGCAGGCAGAGAACAGAGGCCATGTGATCACTTTTTTTAGACAGGTAAGCATGGGTGTTTGGAGGGGACATTTTTAAGACTAGTTAGTTTTCGGCTGGAATTGTACTAGTTGTATACACACTAATTGCATAGCCTGACTTTAATTCCATTTGCTGCTAAATGTTCTGTAGACCAATGTTTCTCAACCTTTTTTTAATCAGGGCACCCTTTAAAATTATGGACAGTCCGAGACACCCTTTAAAACTATGGACAGTCTTAAGGCAACCCATTCTAAAATGTGAAAAACTATTCTGATAGTTTCATATAACGCAGCAACATCCACACATGTAGGACACCCAACATTAGAGGTGAGTTATTCTTCCAAAGCAAATACAAATTTGCACAATTGTACTGAGTAGTATTCCAGTGTTTCTCTTCTCCCTCAGTTTTTCTCCATCACTGAGCTAATGTGACCCCAGCAATGATGGAGAGGGGCAGGTGAAGGTCAAACTAGGATGCTGTGCAGGCAACTGACATCCTCCTTATCAACTGATGATGTCATTGGTTGTCAGGACGCCGGCGGCTAGAAGGTCGTAATGGAGCACAATGAAAACCTGTGACTTTGTGTAACTAAAAGGCATGCTTGTTCCACCCACTGGCTTGTATACAAGTTTTGGGCAATTTTTAGACATTTTGCCAAGGCACCCTTGAATAAACCTCAAGGCACACTGGTTGAGAAAGGCTGCTGGAGACACCAATATACGCAGATGCTATGCATCAAAATAATTAATCAAAACACAAAATTATCAAACATGATCTTGATAATGAACCTGTCTCAATATTTTTGAATGAACCACATTGAAACATGCAGTTTTCTTTAAGTAGATCATTGGGTATGCAAGTAATAATGAAAGAACCATACTTTGATTACACCAGCATAGATATGACCTGTGGAGCACATCCGTTATCCACTTCTACCTGAAGTGGTTCAAATCC